CCAAAAAAACGTAAAAAACCGTAAAAATCGAACTGTAACTAAACCGAATTACATACGGTTTCTATATGGTTTCACTTTCTACAAAACGAAAAAAACAATACTAAACCAAAAAACCGTACTCCACCCCTAATATTTTCTCATCAAACAAAATAAAATAAAATAAAAAATCCTTATATGTCATTGTATTATGTAAGAATTATTAAAATTGTACTATAAAACAAACAATAATCCAACTTTATATAAATATTTAAAAAATAAAATTTCATCCGTGATGTTCCAGCACGGGTTATGATCTAGTTCTGTTTGTTTTTTAATTCACACTAATTGTATTTGATTTTTTTTTTTTGGTCGTAAGTATAATTCATAATCTATACTAAACTTAGATTTTAGTTGGTTTTGATTATAACTATAGTAAGCAACATCTGTATATTATTACTTTATTATAATAAAACATTACAAATATATGTTTTTTTAAGCAAACTTATAAATTGGCTCGAATTGTATATGTTTTTAAAATAAAAATATTATAAAAAGAAATATAACAAAATGATGTTCAATTTCACGGGACGGGGTTATATGGTGGGATGGGTTTTGGTCGATATTAATACGGAACGGTATACAACGGGTGAAATCCTAGAATTAACAATCAAATACAATTATATAATCTTAAATACTAAATAAAACAAATAAAATTAACAAAACAAATACAAATTAAATTTTTAAATTTTTAGTTATAGAAAATCGACCCGAGGTGTATCGCGGGGTAATATAATAATATTAATATATAAATACATGTAATCAAACAAAACAATAGGTTATATCTATAGATAATCTTCAAAAAAAAAAAAAATTCAAACTTTTGTTTAAAATATAGTCCTACGGTGTACCGCGGGTTAAAATCTAGTACACAACAATTCCAGTCCAAGATTATCTAGTTACTTAGAAAAGCAATAAAGAGAGAGAGAGAGATGTCTTTATCAATCATTTGAATATGTTACTCTTTTATGATAGTAGAGGAGCCTCTTCATCGGTGACAATTTCAGACTGGGCTGCGTCTCTATTAGCTTCTTCTTTTACACATTTGTCAAAACTGATAAGTGCAATCACTGTATACCAAATAACAGATATTGTACCCAAACCAAGAGCCAAGACAGGAGAAATTAGGTAATAGATGAAGTAGGAGAGTGTTAAAACTCCAATCATTTGGGCGATGCTTCTTCCAAACGTAATCCCTGGTGAATAGACGTCGGGGGCAAATTCAAAGGCAAAAAAATATAAGAATGCAAAGATGGATCCAAAATATATCTTCAATGGAATATGGTAATGTGCAATCATTACAATATTGGCTCCCAAGATTAACTCATACATGATTCTACCAAGCTTTCTTGATTCCCACCTATATCCACATGTTAGAGAATTCCACTTCAAAATCAATTTTAGGTTTATATCTTTTCTTAATCTTTTTATATAGATGATTTTAAAAACATACCAACGGATCTGAGTTTCGGCATCATGACTATCATCAAGTAGAAGTTCAACATCAAGACATGTGTTGGGGTTGTTGACCGTTATTTTCGATAAACAAATAACACAAACATATAGAAGTATAATAAGCAGAAAATCTATAAAGCATAATATGCATATATAGCGTTCTGCTGGACTATCACTTGATTCAAAGAGCATGGAGAGGAGAATAAAACTTCCAATTGCATGGCTGATACGCCCTAATACCTTGCTAATGCACCAGATCAAACTGGGATCATCTGTCCATCGACAAGTGAGAGAGAGTTCGCAGATTCCGAAACTTATGTACAAGAGGAAGAGTGGTGAGAATATGGTTTTGAGAACCGTCTTGTTATATATATTCACTGCCATAATAATCCCTATAATCAGTTCATGCATACTTCGAGAATAGTTGCTCGATACCCACCTAACAAATACAAAATGGCATTTTTTCGGGTTATACAAACTTTATTTTATATAATTGTATAATAAATATCACAAATCATTTTATCAAAAAAAAAAAAAAAAGGTATATCACAAATCATCATGTACCATAAGGTCCATTGTGGAGGAGGGGTGTTATCATCATCTATAGCTGTGGCTTCGTTAACATTCATCTCTTCGACCAAACAATACTTTTGTCTTATCAATACTTTTATCAACGAAACTATATTTGTCTCTCTCTCGTCCAAACAATCGCACCTAGATATTTATAGGGTATCTTCAATTAGTCTGGTTTTCCTTTCCTTTTTTCTTCAAACGTGTATTTTCATAAGACATAAGTTTGTTTTTCCTATTTCCTTTCTTTAATAGAGAAAATCTACATTAATTCAATATTTTTAATTTATTTAGAAAATGCTCTGTTGGTATTTTCTAAAAGACCTTATCCAATGTTTCTAATATATTTATGTATATTTTCTATATAAATTCATAGAATCTAATAAAATCTAATCAATATATCTAAAAGATCTTATCCAATCTATACTAGTATTTTTGAAATACATTTTTAGCAGATGGGACAAAATGCATTTGGGTATAATGGGTATCCGATCCGTTTACAAATTTTGGTCATAAAAAATTTGTTGGGTCGGGTTATATTTAACCTAACTCATACACGGGATATTCCATATTTAATAATTTAGATATTTAGAAGATTTGATTAGGATTTATTATTATTTATGATGATTCTCCTAACATCTTTGTTTGATTTGTTTTTAACTATTTTGAATCATCATATAATACATAAAGTAAAAAATAATCAATCATAGTCGGTTTAGGAGTTATCTAAACCCTATATATATGTTTGTTGAGTTGTAGCAAACATTGAGAGAGAACATTGAGAGCTTTGTGTTTAGTTTTGAGGAAGTTTCCAAGCATTAATAAAAGAGTTATTCTTTTAAAAGCAAATTTGTGTTCTTAAGATTCTAGATTTGGTATCAGAGCAAAACAGAGAACCGTAGGTTACAAAGCTCTAGGCCAAATTATGGGAGACATCATCCTAGTGGTAGAGAAATCGAAATAAGGATGAGGACCATTTTCTATCCAATGTCCCATGCTGAGTTCAACAAATTATACAGTATGGACAGTACGGATGAAGTCGTTTCTCAAAGTGCATTAATTTTGAGAGATCATTGAAACAGAGTCGACGGACGTTGACAAGAACGATATGACCACAACCTTACTATTTCAATCAATACCAGAAGCCTTGGTATTGCAAGTAGGAGAGCTGAATTCGGCTAAGCAAGTATGGGAAGAGATCAAAGCTAGGCACGTAGGAGCAGAAAGAGTCAAGGAGGTTAGATTACAAACACTCATGGCTGAGTTTGATCGTCTTAAGATGAAAGAATCAGAAACTATTGATACCTTTGCAGGGAAGCTATCGGAGATATCATCAAAGTCTGCAGTCCTAGGAGAAAAAATTGAAGAGTCAAAACTGGTCAAAAAGTTCCTTAAGAGTATCTCGCGGAATAAGTACATACACATAGTTGCTTCTCTTGAACATGTATTAGACCTTAAAACAACAAGTTTTGAGGATATTGTGGGTCGCCTTAAGGTCTATGAAGAACGTATCTACGACGATGATGAAATTCAAGAAGATCAAGTAAAATTAATGTATACAAGTTCTGACATTGCAACAACCTTCTCAAACAGAGAGTTTAATGGGGATTTCAGAGGCAGGGGACGTGGAGGCAGAGCACCCTATAGAGGAGGAGGTCGTGGACGGTATGGTGGCAGTTTTATATCACACATTACATGTTTTCGATGTGATAAAACTGGCCACTTCGCCTCAAACTGCCCTAATAGACTTCTTAAACTCCAAAAAGCACAAGAAAATGATAAGAACGACAACAAATAACACAAGTAGCAGATGAACTGATGATACATGAAGTGGTCTATTTGAATGAAAAACATTGCGCACCAAGCAAATTTGAATCAAACTTAGACAGAGAAAATGTGTGGTACCTTGACAATGGGGCTAGCAACCATATCACCGGAGATCGAAGATATTTTGATCAGTTGGATGATTCTATTACCGGGAAAGTGAGATTTGGAGATGATTCACGCATTGATATCAAAAGAAAAGGGACAATTACTTTCATTGATCTTAATGGAACACCAAGATCAATGATTGATGTCTATTTCATAACCGACTTATTATGATAACTTGGACCGCATGTTTTAACCAAGCTTAACACCAAGTACAAGTGCTGGAAACAAATACGTTTTTGTTCTTATTAATGACTATTCTCGCTATACGTTTTTGTTTTTCCAAAAACATATTCGACTAATTATTTCGTGTTTTACTAAATGCATTTTGTTAATTTTTAATTATTTTTAATATTAACTAAGATATAGATGTGATAAGATGTATATATTATTTAGATATAAAAATTTTACTTGTTACATATTAAGATGGAGTGCTAGAATTCAAATTTGATTTATTATGATGGAACAAATACTCAAAATTTATTCGTTTTTTTTAAAAAACTATCAAATAAAATATAAAAATATGTTGGAATTACCATTTGGAATTCAATATTATCAATAATATTTAATATTTATTTCTTATACCTGCGTAAGAATGTATGTAAATAATTTTTTTAACTAAAACTAATTTTTAATTTTTCTAAAACAAAATCTAAATAACATTTAATTATGAAAATGTTTATTTTATTTTTTGTTAAATTTAATATACCATAAAATAATAATAAAAACCCGCATGTTGGACAAGTATAATCTATTGTTATATATAATCATGGGCCTTTTATTCCACCATTATCCTCAATTATTATTTTACTATTTTGTTTTTTTCTAGCATTTATCTGTTCTTATTAATAAATATATTCGAACTCATATCTTTTACTAGTTTTGTCAAAATATTTAATTTTCCTTCTCGTCTTCTCAGCGTTTACCAACCAAATAAATAGAGGGCCAAAGGTGGTAGATGCATGAGCCTCTAACACCACCACAACTCCAACACAATTAAATTCGTCTCTCTATCTTTTTCTTTATCTCTCTCTTCTGTTCAATAACAAAATCCAGAACTATATGAGACCTTGTTTTCACTTACCACCTTCTTAGAGGTATCTCAATTATTTCCTTAATTTCTCAGATTTTCCGGTCTAACTCTTGAACCGGTCTCTGTTTTTTTTATCACCTAAAGCTCTGATTTTGATACAATGGGTTTGTTTCTAATGAGTTTGTGTACAATGGGTGTGTTTAGTTTTATCGTTGTTGTTTCTGTTTCTGTGGAGAAGACTAATCTATTCTCATATTTGGCTTCTTGTGTGTTTTTTTTTGTTCTCTTCTTGATTGGTCAGATCGTTTCTATTGAGTGGATCAAATCCCAAGCCTTAAGAGCCCATTAACCCATCTTCTGTTGACTCTGGTTTCTAGATTTAGCTTACGTTTGTGAGAATCCATGAAAAAGGTGGCGGTGGTAGGTTTTGTTCTTATTGATGGGTTGACTTGATTTGGATAAAAAGTCTTCCTTTTTTTTTTATTGATTAGTCACCAATTTCCCTTTTCATCGAGAGCAGATTCATATCTTCACGTACTTTGATGGGTTTGATGAGCTGTTTAATTAGACTTTTGAAGAAACTAAAGTAGCTGTTCTTGTCGGATCTACATGTTAACTTTTACACTTTATGGTCTCAAAACACCAAACATATGGTTAATGAGGCTTTAAGTTGACATATTTTGTGTAATCTTACTTAATTTAGACATATGGTGCTTCTATGTTTCTCTGAGTTGTTTCTTGAACTGATCAGTGCTTTGTTTGTGGCTATAGGAGAAAAGTAAAACATTCACGATATGGTGAGCTTACGAAGACGTAGGCTATTGGGTCTTTGTTGTGGTAAACAATGTTCTTGACTAAATGATATATAGTCTAAGATTAGACATAATGATCAACTAGTTTTATTTCTCTAGGACCAAATGGTTATGTGACACCACTTCCATTTTTAACTGCTGAGGAGATGATCACTGGGATTCCAAATCCTAATGCCAAATCAGCTTATAATCCCGGGCCAGAAGAAACGTTTAAAACGGCTATAGACGAGGTACGGAATAAATATTTTGAGTTTATGGTTTTGCTAATTGTATATCTAGGTTACTCTAACAAATGTGTAAGGGCTAATGCAAGGGGATTACATATAAATTACTCACAGCGTCCTAAAAGCTCTTATATACTTTCTTTCCGGTAAAAACATTATAAGTTTGACAATCTATGCAGATTCAAGTGGTCTAATATATCGATCGTAGTACTGGATATTTATATTCTCGTATGTCATTTAATATGATCAGTAAGACATGAATGGATGCAATATTTAGTGGTGTGATATATATCCCATCTGTGTTATTTTAGCAGTTTAGACTGCTTTAGTCATATTCCAGTGACCAACAGAGAGGACATCAGATTATATACTCCATTCTAACAATTAAGCCTTACTTCTTTTTGTTTGGCAGAAAATGGCTATTGAAGAGAGGAGCCGAATAACTCGGTCAAAACATATGCATTTCAGGTCTGATTACTCAGATATTTCACCGGTTAATTCTGATTCCATCTCACCAAAATGTGAGTAGAACATATGCGACTGAGGACTAATTTCTCGTTTGCTTACTAATTGATTGGGGTTAGTGATCAGAATTGACCATTTATTTCATATTATTTATCTCCCATTTATAGACCAGCCGCCGAAACGAAGAAAGCAGCATAGAAGAAAGCGAGTACATAACCAAGAACCATGTTTGATGAGAGGAGTCTACTACAAAAACATGAAATGGCAAGCCGCCATTAAAGTCAAGAAGAAACAAATCCACTTAGGCACTTTCTCTTCACAAGAAGAGGCTGCTCGTTTATATGATAGGTAAAACTCTTTCGTTGTTTTTCGCAATCATTGGATTCCAGAAACTTCAAGTAAATCATTGCCATTGACAATTACCACCTCTGTTAGGGCTGCTTTCATGTGTGGGAGGGAACCAAACTTTGAGCTCTCGGAAGAAGATAAACGAGAACTCAAACAGCAAAGCTGGGAAGAGTTCTTGGATTGCACACGCCGAACAATTACGAACAAAAGTAAGGTTTTACTAACAACAAAAATGTAGTGTATTTTGTTTGATAACCTTTTGGTGGACTCTCTGGATATGCAGAACCAAAGATTAGGATAGACCATGAGGATAAGGAGATCAATGCGAGCATGCCACATCAACCAGAAGAAGAAGAGCAAGACTAAGACCAAATGTGATCAATTGTGCAAAAGATACCACCAGACTCATACAAAGACCAAATGTGATAAATTGTGAAAAGGATACAACCAGACTCATATACAGAGATAATTATTATTCATCCAAAAAATAGTAATATATATATAAAAGCATAGTCGTAAAAAAACACATAACATAATTCATAGAAGAGTAAACTAAGAGAAAAATTAGAGACTCGCCATTAAGAATATGGAAACTAATAGTCTCTTTTATCTTAGTCTCTTCTGTTTAAACATTAGCATAATTCAACTACTTTTATTTCTCTAGGACCAAATGGTTATGTTACACCACTTCCTTATAATTTCGGGCCAGAAACGGTAAAACCGGCCCTATCTCCATTGCATACAGAAGTCGAGACCCTTCTCTTGGCGATGAAGTGTATGATTAGTGCAGATAATCAAGAGGTAGCTTTCTTTACAGACTGTTCAGACCTGGTGAAGATGGTGTCTTTCCCAACCGAATGGCCGGCATTTTCAGTGTATTGGGAGGAATTTCAGAGCGACAAGAAAGAATTCTCAACCTTCTCTTTATCTTTAATTTCTCGTAGTGCAAATGTAAAAGAAGATAATCTAGCACGAAAAGTTCGTGCAGAACCGCATCATATCACTTTTGTAAACAACATTCCTCAGGAATGACTTTTTTAATTTTTAATTAATATCGGATGACAAAAAAAAAACGGTAAAACCGGCTATCGAGGAGGTACGGAAAAATGTTTTTGAGTTTTTGGTTTTAAGAAACTTTTAAGAAATCCATATCACACTTTTCCTAACATAATTGGTTCAATATTTTTGTTTTGAATATAAAATTTAATTTAATAAATAATTATATTAAAATTACTGATTAAATATTAGTAAGAGATCTAAGTTAGTTTCTTACCAATAGAGATGCTCTAAAACAACTACTCCAACTATTCCAGCCTCTTAGAAAAGTAAAATTTTTGGTTAAAGACCCATAAATGCAAGCAATTTTTGTTTGGCGGAATGATTTCAATATGGTGACAATAAAACCATTTAAAGAAATTGTGTTTGGATAACTCAAGAAATTACTTTTGTAAAAACAAAAAACATTAGTATATGAAAATGATGTTTTGTTATTATTTAAAACAGAAAAACAATACACATAAATATCAAATGAATTATTTATTTAAAAACAATTTGATTATAGAATTTGTTCTTATGGCTTAATTAGGAGGTCATAAGCTGCAAACGAATTGCGTAAAAATATATTCTATTTAGGCTGGCACAATATTCACGTAGTTGACCACATTGACGATACTTTGAAATTTTAGGATAGTTTAAAATTGAAACATATGCTTCAACCTCATTATTAAACCCCATGTTAATCTCGTGCATTAAAAGACATTTCCAGAATAATAGCTCTGTTCCGTTATCCTTTAATTTAATGATTTTTGTACCTTTGAGTTTAAATGTTGGACTCTCAATTTTTTGTTCCCTGTACGAAAGCATAATGGAGAATTCTACTATAACCGAATTGGTTCTTAATTACAATCTCAATTTCCTTGAAAGCTTCATTTACCAGAAAATAAATAGCACTAAATCACATGAAAATATTAGACGACTCATTTGTTCAGATCTAAAATAACTGTTAGAGTAAAAAGGACATCAACATGTAGACATTTTTTCTTTATTTAGCAAATAAAGCTTTTAGAGTGTTAACTCAATTTTGAGGCAAACATGCATGAACAAATAAGAAATTTGGTCAAAAGAGATTTTAGTTTCCATATTTATGGTTGACCAATAAGATCCAACCAAATGAAATAATCTAATCTATTACAATTGACCTCGAATTTCAAACTAAAAAATATGCAAAATGTAGAATTATATCATAAATGTGTATTGAAAAAAAAACTGTACAAAACATTCTGCGTAAGGAATGAAGCAAAAATCAGCTTCAAAACCAATAAGCAAACAACAGGATTTTGAAGTCGCAAGAGAAAATAGAGCTAAGGTGGAGGCAATCCTAGGAAGTATGTTGGCTTATACTACGACATAAAATCAAGGGAGCTATCGAAGAAACCCCTTCCCCAGTTGCCTTCCTAATTAAATAGAAACTCAAGATATTCAGACAAAATGAGACTAATCGTGCAAATGATACAATCAGACTCAAATAAATATTTTTTTCTTAAATACAAGAAGCTCATCGGATATATTAAAGTTAACAAAATTTTTGAATAGTTTTATTAATTCATATATTATATAGATAGAAAAAATCCAACTCATGGTAAAGGAATTACAACTTGATATATGTTACAAAGATTTATTATACTTCAACTAGGGAGTTCAATGGCAACAAACCGCTCCCCATGATCTCTCTGAAATTAGCAGTTATATCATCCACCAAAGATAAGAGGGGATGCCGCCTACATCAGTTTTGTCTATTTTTTTCTATCCCCCTCTATCAAACAAAATAGCTGGCTTGTTAAAAAGCATGGAAAGGTATCCAGAAAGCAACAAGGAAGTTGAATCTAGCGGAGGGGTCTTTGCTTTTGCGTGCGCGGAGCCCCAACAAAGAAGGTGTTAGTGGCTTATCATTGGGTCAATAATGCTAATCCCTCATATTCTTATTGGGAAAAATGCCAATTAAATGCTGAACTTTTTCATTACATCGTTTTTAATCCCCAACTTTGCCTGAAACGATTTAAATGCTAAACTTTCTTTGACTTTCCATTTAAATGCCAAACTTTGTTTGACTTTGCCATTTAAGCCCCGACGTTAAGTCGATTAACGGAACAATTAAACGCCGATTAAATGCCGTTAACAGCTCCTCTTAAATTAAAACGATGCCGTTTTTAATACACATAAACGACATCGTTTTCTCAATTTACAAAACCCCAATCAAACTCATTTGCCCCAAATCGAAATCGAAAGCTTCAGATTTATCTCATTCTCTTTTGGGATTCATTCTTGTGATTCTCTCAACTTGTTATAATGAGTTCAAGTTCTATAACATCGAACATTGTCGGAGTCCGTGGTGTGCCGTCGAAGTGTAAGTGTGGCTTAGGTGTTACAATTTTTACATCCAAGACTCAAGAGAATCCAGGAAGGCCTTTCTTCCGCTGTATAAGCAAAAGAGAAGTGAGTTCTTGGAAAACCAAAAAAGATGTAAGTGTTGGTGTTATAGTGTTGTTTTTAACGTTTCCTCATCTCTCGCTGCAGCTCCAAAGTGTGCTTCAAAGTCTCTCTCTTCGCAAAGCTCTTCGTCCACACCTACACGGTTTTGATGTTCTTCTTCACGAACTTCTTCTTCATCTTCACGAACTTCTTCATTGTTCTCCTCTTCGTCAGCATATTCAATCCCATCACAATCTTCATCGCCAACCACTTCACAGTCATCTCCACTCACAATCTCATCTTCGTCACGAATTGGGTCAACACCACTCTCTTTGGTTGAAGCCTCTGGTTTTTTTCGTTTGGGTTTCCGATTTGCCACCCTCTTTTCTCGCGTCATTACAACGAATCGTTGAATTGAAAGAGAGAAACAGAGAGAAATCAATTTCTACGGTTATAGATTTGGAGATTTTTTTATTTGGGGCAAATGAAATCGAATTTGAGTTTTGTAAATTGAGAAAACGACGTCGTTTATGTATATTAAAAACAACATCGTTTTAATTTAAGAAGAGCTGTTAACGGCATTTAATCGGCGTTTAATTACTCCGTTAATCGACTTAACGTCGGGTCTTAAATGGAAAAGTCAAACAAAGTTTGACATTTAAATGGAAAGTCAAAGAAAGTTCAGCATTTAAATCGTTTCAGGTAAAGTTGAAGATTAAAAACGACGTAATGAAAAAGTTGAGCATTTAATTGGTATTTTTCCCTATTTTTATTGATAGGGATCCCCATTCATTCCTAGATTCCCGTCAGAGACGTCATTCCTTGCGGCAACCACTTGAATATTACTTGGGTAAGAGTTTTCGTGAATCCCCAACACTTTTTTAAAAAAATATGACTTGAATTTGATCAATTTATTAGTGTTTAAATGTTTATTTTGAAAATTTTTTAATATCATTTTTTAATTTTGTTTTTAAAAATAACCACTTTCATATATCAAACCTCGATCAAATTACAATATGATCCCTCAGGTATTTTAAATAATGGTTTGAGCGAGAAGTTATTGTGGGAAGAAACTCAAATGGATCCGATTGAATTGAGTGTTAATAGGAAAACACTGGCTCAATCAACGCAATTCCTTAGCTGTCGGATTGATGGTTCATGGAAATCTACGGATCCAACAATGGGACTAGGGTGGTGGTGTTTACAAGAAAATGATCAAACAATACTTCTTGGTGAAAAGTGTCTTCAGAGGTATCCCTCCCCCTGCATTCGGAGATGGAAGCTTCAATTTGGACTATGATATATATCCTTTCAAGAAGGAAAGACCGTCAGGCGTTTGAAACAGATTGTACAGAGTTAGTCTCGATGGCGCAGTCTCCTGAAGAATGGCCAGCTTGCTCCAATCGACTCGATGAGTTTGGATTGCTCTGTGATTTCTTTCTCCTTTTCCAATCTCTTCTATTTTTCGTTTATGTAATTCTAAGGCGGATTGTCTAACTTGATACTCTAGATTATTACTATCTGAAGTCACGTTTGTAAACTCGTTTCCTCCAGATTGGGTAACCAATCATGGAGTTTAGCTTTTAATTAATATGTGGTTGTTAAAATTTTTTAAAAAAAAAGGAAGAAAAAAAAGAACCTCTCTTATAAAGGAAAAAATGGTCAATTAATCTCTCTTGTAATCCTTAAAAATGGTCATTTAATGAAATATTAAGTTCCATTCTACATCTTTTATCATAGCATCAATACTTAAAAACCTAATTCATGACTGCCGTTTTCTCTTTTCACAAAAAGCTTCTTCTTCCACTCCTTGATTCCAAGCCAAAGCAACTTCTTCTACTTCTAACGACAACATCACTCTATGACGTTCTGACTCTTGTTCACGTCATTATGACGACTGTTACAAAATTATTGCCTCTAATTTTCATGTATGGGAGAGAACCAAACTTTAAGCTCTCGGAAGAAGATAAACGAGAACTGAAATATCAAAGATGGGAATAGTTATTGGATTGCACAGACCGAAAAAATAAAAACATTTTGTAAGTACGACTTTATTAATAACAAACTCTAGTGTATTTTGTATGTCCAACATTTCTTGGCGGCTCTTTGGATATGCAGAACCAAAGAGAAGGATGGAACATAAAGATAAGGAGATCAATGCAAGCATGTGATGTCCTCCCGGAGAATAAGAGCAAGATTAAAACAAAATGTAATGAACTGTGCAGAAGATACAACCAAACTCATATACAAATAAATTTATTGAATTAATACAAGAAGCTCAAGAGATAATATTGTTTAATCAAAAAAATTAATATAATATAAATCAAAAAACAGGAAAAGAAAATTATTGTCATAGATCACTAAGAGCATCTCTGTTGGTTTGCTCATAGAAAATGAAGAGAAAAATAAGAGACTCACCATTAAGAAAATAGAAAACTAATAAAAAGAGAGAAGAGAGAGTGACAAGAGACTCTCAAATGCGCTATCTATTAAAAAAAAAATTTGATAAAAAAATTAGTTTTTATGGCTTATTTGAGAGGTCATAAGCTGGAATACAATTGAATAAAAACATAAGTTTTATAGACAAAATAAAGCACATTATGAACGCCATTTGTTTAGAAGTAATGGCGGAGATGCATCCCTTATAAAATATATTGCATCCATTTTGGCACTATATTCATATCGTTGACCACATTTAGGATGCTTTAAAACTGGACGGTACACCTCAACCTCAGTAAAAAACTTCATGTTAATCCCTTGCCTGAAAAGACATTTTATACGCGATCGCTCGGTTCCGTCATCACCGAATGTAATGGCATATGTACCGTTGAAGTTTAAATGTCGGACTCTTAAGTTTATTTTCCCGACGCGGCAATGATATTGGAGAATTCTACTAGAACCGAGTTGGTTCTTAATTACAATCTCATTTCCCTTACAAGCTTCATTAACCACAAAATAAATGGCACTAACTAACATGAAAAATATTAGACGACTCATTTGTTCATATCTAAAATAATTGTTGGAGTAACAAGAGCATCAACATGTATTATTTATAGTTTCTTTGTGTGGACAACGTTTTTCCTTTACGTAGCAAATAATGGTTTTAAAGTGTTAACTAAATTTAGAGGCAAACATGCATGAACAAATTAGAAATTTTGTCAAAAGAGATTTTAGTGTCGAAATTTATGGTTGACCAATAAGATTAAACCAAATGAACGAACCAGACTTATTACAATTGACCTCGAAACTACAACTAAAACCATATCAAAAATTTATTGGCAAAATATGAAATTAAATTTTAAATGTGTAGTAAATTAAGAAATAAATAATTTGATAAACAAATTATGCGAAAGGCATGGATTAAAAATCAGCTTCACAAAACAAGCAAATATCAAAATTTTGAAGAACCAAGTGATCACATGATGAATTATTTTGGTTTAAATTAAGCAAAGATGCAATTGAAGTTTTTGTCGGAAACAGGGAGACTAACAAAAAATAAAATAATATAAACAGTTGTAAATCAATAGGTAAAAGAGATTAGGCAAAAAAAAAAAAGCTATCTATGCAATAAAATTCCTAGAAATTAAGCCGTTATTTGTCAATAGAAATTCAAGCAAGCATTAAAGTCGAGTTTGATTTGTTCATCGAGTGTCTTAACTTCCAATTTCGTTGGTTAAGGACATTTAGCTCACCTATGTTCTTTCTAGTAATACAACAACACTTTTGATGTACCGATGAATTAAACCTAAGATAAAATCTTGGTGATCAATATAGATTAAACAATAAGAATAACCATAGATGAATAACAAAAATAATCAATCCAAATGTAACAACCTAACAATCATTCAATTATGAAATCTCCCTTTTGAAATCCATGAACCCAATTGGAAAAGTACTCAACCATAGAAATAGAAGAAAACCAAAATAATGGAGAAGAAGACATGACAAATTTGAAACAGAATATCAAAGGGTTGAGAGAAGTCTCTAGAAAGAAAGAATTTCAAAAGTAACACCCTCGTGCAGAGCAACAATAGTTAGGACTGGGCCGAATCCATATTTAGGGTCCGGATCCCTTTTTTTTAATTAAAAATATAATTATAATAAAAAATCTGAGGCAAGAAAAAACAAACTAAAATTATAATATTACTATAGTATAAATATCACCTCTTTCGTTTATACGATCGGTAAAACTTTTTTCGTTTTTTTCGCAATCCTCGAATTCTAGACACTTCAAGTAAATCATTGACATTGATAATTATCACCTCTATTAGGGCTGCTTTCATGTGTGGGAGGAGCCGAACTTTGAGCTCTCGGAAGAAGATAAACGAGAACTCAAACAGCAAAGCTGGGAAGAGTTCTTGGATTGCACACGCCGAACAATGACGAACAAAAGTAAGGTTTTGCTAACAACAAAATGTAGTGTGTTTTGTTTGATAACCTTTTGCTAGACTCTCTGGATATGCAGAACCAAAGATACAACTAGACCCATAGATAAATATGTTTCATCAAAAAAATACTAATTTATATATATATAAGCATAGTCATAGAAAACAAAGAGCAGCACTCAACGAAAACTAAAAAAAAAAATAAGACACTCACCATTAAGAATATGGAAACTAAAAAGAGAGAGGAGTGATACTGACAAGAGTCTCTCAAATAAGAGATTTTAAGATATTCGTATCACACGTGTGCTAACATTATTCGTTCAATTTTTTTTTATGATTTATAATTTAAATAAAAATTATATTAAATTACGCATAAATATTAATTAGAAATTTAAGTTAGTTTCTTACTAATAGAGATACTCTAAATGAACAACTCCTCTAGCTTTTTAGAAAATTGAATCTTTTTGATTAAAGACCCAGAAATGCAAGCAATTTTCGTTAGGCTGAATTATTTAAATATGGTGACAATAAGACCATTTAAAGAGATTGGGTATGGATAACTCAAGAAATTATCTACATGATCTAAACATATAACGACCATTGATGCTCTATAACAACCCGAGGACTAAACCTCCACACACAGAAACCATCGATTTTGAGATCAAATCACCATTGTTTATCATGATTTAAAACTCTGAAGTTCTCTAGAACACATGGATAATTCTTTACATCATATGGAACCAAATTCATATATGGATGCTCACGTCTTCTACCATTCTCATGTGCTTGACATTCTTTGTGATATATCCGGTGACCGTGCAAGCTACTTGGTTAGCCAATGGTTCTTTTGAGTCAAATTTTTATTATCGAGACTCTTACTATCTTCTCCTGACATTTCCTTTTAATTCTCTACAGAAATCATGATATAATATTTTCTAATAGATAACAAGTAATTCTAAGGGTAAACGACCTGTGTCCCCCTAGGAAGTTTCATATAGTATCACAACTACACAGAATTGGGACCTCGACCGCAGTCCACACAGATCAGAAGTTAAACTCCA